CTCCTTGCTTGAGTAGCTGCAAGGAGGGGTAAGAGCATCTTTAATCATTGATAGAGGCAGGGTTTTCTAGCTGTTCTCATCCAATAGCATAGAGGTCACTTACCATACACTGTCCATGAGAGAGTTCCAAGTGGGTATTCTTGCTTAATTGGGAAATAAAGCGAGGGCAGGGAATTGATGGCTGTATGTAGGTCTCTTTTTGGTCACTTGTCAGTTTTTATGAGGGATAGCATGTTTCTCACATGTCAACTCCAAATAATGGTAAGGCCTGCTCTGAGCACTATGTTAAAATGGATTTTGAGACCCAAACCTGTATTCTGCCAAAGGTGCAAGAAGAGGTAGTGAGTCATGAGTTTGCCACCTCTTGTTAGGTCATTAAAATACATTCCAGAAAGACCTTCAGATACCAGGTGGTTTTCTCAAAACACTGATCCTGAGAATTGAGAAATCAAATACTAATAACCAAATACTAATTTTGCTCTGACTGCTTGGGTTCTAATCCTGGCTGTGCCACGTTTGTAACATTTGGCATCAAATTCCTCTGTGCCTCAGTTCCCTCAGCTGTAAAATGGGGTTGATAATAGTATTTCCTCAATGAGTTGTTAGTTTAAATAAGCTAATACATGTAAAGTTCTTAGAGCAGTGCTTGGCACATTATAAATGTCCAATGAACATTAATTATGATTAATAAAAAGAGAGTTTTGAGTGTGTATTATGTATAGGCACATTCTGGGTTTATGCAACCCCTTTGGCCTAACCCTCTGCCCAACTTAGGATAGTGTTTATTGAAAGTGCTTCTTGATTTTCACTTGGTATCACTCTTTCTGCTAAAGACCGAGTTAGAACTCTCTCAAAACCAACCAGTCCTGTTTTGGTCTAATATGAAAACGTATAACTGGAAGAGTTGTAGAGCTTATGGAATCTACTTCCTTGTTTTCTCCAGCTGGGGAATCTGAAGCTCAGGAAGGTTGAAGACACATCCATTTTTGTTACTTAAGCATTTCTCCTATTTGCTAATGAAAAAATCAGATAGGCTGTGATGAGCATATTAAGACTTAATGTTTTTTTAATGTGTCATAGTAAATAATTATGTGCACAGCAATGCCTCCATAGAAGGAGGTATCTAGAATAAAAGGAAAATTGGGCACTAGAAAGGAATCAGGTATGGGAAGATTTGATCTTTTAGGCTGCAAATAGAGTGTGTATGGCCAAGAGATGTGGGCCTCTTCTGAAAAGGATATGCAACAGGATGTCTCAGGACCCCACCACATAGAGGGGAGTACTGAGGTCTAGAACACTCAGGGTGTTCCACATCCGCATTGTCAAATCACATAAGGAAGGACAGGGATTGTTTATGCTGAACACCTGATTCCTAATCCCAACTGCTCCTAACAAAAGACTCTGACTATAACGTGCAATAATAGGAAACATGGAAATCTTAATAAAAACGTGTGTGTGTGTGTGTGTGTGTGTGTGTTTGTGTGTGTGTGTGTGAAGCTATATTGTCTGTAAGGAGCATCCCCTCCAAACCTAAAGGCAGCATGAGAGAACTAAAGCCCAAACAGCCACTTCAGCAGTCCGGGATGGCAATCTCAACTGTTGACCTTGACCAAAAATTCTTTAGGCAGCTAGGCAGGTGACAGTGTGCCTACGAAGTGTTTTAACAGTCAAATACTAAAGACTTATTTTTTTTGTAAGAGGAAAAAGCAGTATTCGGTTTGGGACATTCACTTGGAGAACTCTAAGAGTAGAGCAATCTAAATGGGATAGCATGAACAGTACATGGTATATAGAAGAAGCAGAATAAAAGATATTTCCCTCGTTGTCTTTCTGGAATATCTGTTTGAAATAGTTGAAAGAAATGAACAGGATCATGGATTGTCAAACCTGGGTTTGCTCTGAAATCACATGAGGACCTTTTTGAAAACTACTGAACTTCTGAATCAGAATCTCTGATTGTAGAGAAGTGTAGCTAAGGAACCTGTATTTTGGGCGCCTGGGTGGCTCAGTTGGGTAAGCGTCTGCCTTCGGCTCAGGTCATGATCCCAGGGCCCTGGGATTGAGCCCCACATCAGGCTCCCTGCTCAGTGGGGAGTCTGCTTCTCCCTCTCCTTCTGCTGCTCCCCCTGCTTGTTCTCTCTCTCTCTTTCTCACTGAAGTAAATAAAATATTAAAAAAAAAGAAACCTGTATTTTTGAGGAAACTCTCAGGCAACTCTGATGCCCAATTAAGTTTTAGATCAGTGAACTACATGAACTCTCGTTCTTTTGTCTTGCTAGTTTCATTGCTCACCACTGTTTATTTATCTCTTCCCCAATTGATGGACACTGGACCTGTTCCTAGTTGGGCTATATGAATAAAGTGGCTATGAATATCACAAGTCTTGTGGATGTGTTTTCTTTTATATTGCATAAATACTTGTGTGTGGGACTGCTGGCCATTGGGTAGAAGAAACCTCCAGACCTTGGCCCAGTATGGTTGTGTCATTTTACCCTGCCATCAACCACGTTGTACCAGGTCTGTCACCTTGTCCTTGATTGGTGGAGTCAGTCTCTTTATAGTCATTCTGGAGGGTTGGGGGGGTGGGTATAGTGGCATCTCCTTGTGGTTTTAATTTGCATTTCCTTGATGACAAATGATATTGGGTATTTTTTCTTGTGCTTGTTGGCCATTCTCGTGTATATACTTTTTGACTCTTTAAATCTTTTGCCCATTTTTAATTGGTGTGTTTGTCTTTCTGTTGTTAAATTGTCACAGTTCTTTGTAGATCCTGGATAACAGTCCTTTGTCAGATACAGGTTTCACCGATGCTTCCTTCAAGTCTATAGCTTGCCTGTTTATTTTCCTAATGGTGTCTTTTGATGAGAAGCAGTTTTTAATTTTTTGATGAAGTCTATTTTTATGGTTATTGCTTTCTATGACCTAAGAAATCTTGGCCATCTTTAAGTCATAAACACATTCTCTTATACATTCTCTTTAGAAAGCCTTAGAATTTTACCGTTTATATGTGAGATATTTATTTTGCCTTTTCACAAGTTTTCAAGACTAGGTCTTCTAAAAAAAATAATGCCCAGTTAATGTTACTTTTATACATAAACAAATAAATGAAGCTGAATCATGTTAGGAGAAACCTATCACAGTGGCTTTCCTGAAAAAATATGTGCAAATGTGGAATAATTGAAAAGATCAGACCATCTTCCACATTCACATTTTTTTAAATAAGATTTTATTTTTAAGTAATCTCTGCACCCAGCATGGGTCTTGAACCCACAACCCCAAGGTCAAGAGTCCCGTGGTCTACTGACAGAGCCAGCCAGGCAGGTGCCCCTTCATGTTTTGTTTTCAAACACATAATTTAAGAAGAAGAATGGATTCTTTGATTCTAGAGGAGGCTTGAATTAAAGAGGTGTTCTCAACATATATTTGTTGAGTGAAAGAAAATTGACTGCTGTATGCATTTGTACCTAATGGTGAATCGTGGGGAGAGAGGAGTAGTCCTACACCCCCTGTATGGAATCCGAGAAGAACGGGAGAGCAGAAACCCTATCCTCTTTGATTACACGGGAGACAGAACCTTATTCTGCGGGTTCCCATTTGTCTCCATACTTGTTTTCTTCTGCCCCACACGTTCAGATCTGAGTCAGAAGACGACTCTGGCCATATTGCCTCAGGCAGAGAATCACTTGTGTTCTTTTGCAGGGCCTGGCTCCCAGATGTTCCATCGCAAGAGGAATCTGACACACTCCTCAGTGCATGGGCCATCTGATATTCCATGCAACATGGGGCAGTGGCTCATTTCAACTCTCACATAACATTTGCTCCAGAAATGGATTTTCTGAAACTTTCCACTTAAATAACTGTGGATTCAGTTTCAGGGAGGCCAACATACTGGAAACTAAGCAGAGCATTTAACTCCAGACTGTTGGGCAGGCGCGCATTGTCACGGTTCTGCCTTAATTCACTGCATCTTACTTACTTTGAAATTTGCAGCCAGATTCTACACTATTCACCTTTTAATGTCTGGAAATAACGTAAAGTATTTGGCTATTTGTTCACCTTGTTTAAGCTGTACATCTGTGGAGGGTAAGAATATATTTGCCAAAGCATAGTATACTTTTCTAAAAGATTAGACTGGTTCTCCTAACTTAGATAAGCCATAGAACGTTAGTGATCGTGTTTTTATGCAAATCCTATGAGCGATAACATTACATATAATCATGCCTCCCCCCAAAGTTTTTTTTTTATGAACTTAGAAAAGTTTCTAATATAAAGGTTATATTGTCAACAAATGCTAGTTTGAAAGCCAAATAGGATTTTGAAGATTACCTTTCTTTAACAATGCCTTAAATTTTTATCTCCTTATCCATTCCTCATTGCTTTCTTTCTCAAGACATTATGGTTTTATTGTGTCTCCACTAGGTACCTTGCATGTGATTTACACAGTGAATGGCCCTGCTTTTGGAGCAAGTTAATGATATAATATCCCCATTTATATTCAGAGCAGTCAACACTTTCCAGCTCTCAGAATAATAAAAGCACCTGCATTTAATATACATGGAAGAATGGGAAGGCAAATAGCAGATAAGGCACAATCAGGTAAGTGTAATCAGATAAAATATCACAATATTACAGTAGATCAGCATCTGGTAATGACTTGAATTTTGAAAGACTGACAAACAGCATGGCCTAAAGCAGCCAGGCATACCTCATTCAGAGCAACTCTTCCCAGAACTGATTGCTCCTCTCATGTGTTTTCTGGCAGATTAAGCAGGTTGGGTTTCTTATTTTAACTCTTCTGGAACTGCTTTGTGCCACTGGAAAAACACTGGCAATCTTCCTTTTGAGCCCAGATCAGAAACAAAAACAAACGACATATCCAAAAGTAAAGCCTTGCATCCCCCCGGCAGTTATCTCAAATTGATCCAAACCAATTTTATTAAAAATAAAAATAAAGCCTGCAGTGATAGGCAGAAAGCTTTCATTTCCATCTCTGTATTTGCCTGCATGGCGTTGATATTTTATTCTAACTTTTTTCTTAAGGCAGGGGAAAGCAGTTTATTAGAGACTGATTTGTCTCTGAGAACTTCCTCACTTTGGGCCATGCAGATGGCAGACCTAGCTATGTATCTCAGCTTGTGTGAGCCCTCATGTAACACAACCATATGGAGTCAAATAGAAAGCTTCAGATTTGCAAGTCAGAACTGAACAAACCTGGCTTGTGGAGTGGGATTTAGCAGTTTTCCTCTCCTTTTAAGTTATTCCCTGTGGGAGGCCAGCAATCTCTTCAATGAACTCCCTTGAGCTTACCAGATACCACTGAGGAAATGCGGGGTGCAAGGTACAAGGCACGGGGAGGGCCCAGGTGCAGGGGGCTGTCGGGCAAACACAGCCTGGCCCACACTCTGCCCTGACGTTCACCTCTTCTGTGTCAGGGCTCCAGCTCCTTCACAGAGGGATCACTAGTGCCTTCTCTCTTACCTGCTGCAACTGGAGTAGGATATCATTTGTAGAAAATGGAACTGATCGCTCTGTCTTCTGAGAAGAGCTGTACTCACTCTCTTGTTCCCCAATTCTGAGGCTTTTGTTTGCTTTTCTAGAGTGGCAGCCCCGGGCACTGGTCAAAAGGTGTGTGTTTAAATGAAAATGTCAGAAGTGTGAGCATGGAGGAGAGGAAATAACTGTCCATTGCATTTAGAGCAACTCTATTTTTATGGAAATGACTCTTCCCAAAATATCTCTGTCTCCTCAGCTGGTTTAGTCAGCTCAGACTGTGGTAACAAAATACCGAAGACTGGGTGACTTAAAGAACAGAAACTTATTTTCTCACCGTTCTGGAGGCTGGAAGTCCAAGACCAGGGGGCCAGCGTGGTCGGCTTCGGGTGAGACTTCTCTACCTGGTTTGCCAGCTTTGTCGATGCTGGCCATCTCAGTGTGTGCTCACATGACCTCTTCTTTGGAGAGAGAGGAAGCAAGCTTTCTGGTGTGTCTTCCGATAAGACATGATTCCCATGAGCCCAACTCCCATGACCTCATTTAAACGTGTACACCCCCCAAAGGCCCCGTCTCCAAACACCATCACATTGTGGGTTAGGGCTTCACCATATGAACTGGCAGGTGGGGGGACACAATTCAGTCCATGGCATCACGCAGTAGTATTACTGTGGCAATGTTCATAAGGCTGAGACAAAGAGAGCCACTGTCTGGCCAAAAAGGTTGACACGAAGAGTATCAGTACTTCAGTCCATGATGGAGCAAATGTCTGTTCTTATCCCTGTATTTCACACACGCCCACACCCTGTCACACCCAGGTTGGACTTGAAGAGAGAGAGATCACAGGAGAAAGTGCTGGGTCAGGGATTAAGTAGAAAAGTAACAACTTTCAGGATGTTCATGGTGTCAACATTCTCTTGGCTTTTCTACTGTACTTTCCACCTTTACGGTTAACAGGGACTAATCACCGATTTCAGAATGATGAATTGGCCCACAGGGGAGCTTCATTCACCAAGAAGTTTTCAGTTATATTCTAAATACCAAAGAGAGAACTAATTTTCAGAAGATTTCTAATGACTGGAGTGAAAGTAAGGAGTTGTGGGGAATCATGGGTTCATTACAGCCCTCTTTTTTCAGAGCATCCCATTTTATGTAATGTTTTCTTTTACAGAATTATTCATTATTGAATGCTTTTGGGAGGTGGACTGAGATTTCCATTTTACAGTAGAAAAACTGTAAGCTTCTTCAAGGTCATTAGAAGAGATCTGAATTATCAACTGAAGCATGAACTACACATTACAGAAAATTGAAAACACCTCCCCCAGAGGTTGGTTGGTTTGTTGGGGGGTTGTTTTTTTGTTTTTGTTTTTTGTTTTGTTTTGCATTTTAGTTGTTGCCTAAGAGGAACAAGCAAAGCAGCCTATTGTTGTTTTAACTTGTCATCTTGTGAGTATGGGCCATGAAAAGCCATGCTAGTCATGTTAAAAAGAGATGTATCACTATCTGATCTGTGATAGAGATAGCCTTAGATAAAGCACAACTGGGGCTATGTCAGCCTCTAAATTGAAAACATTTCTGTTTCTGCCTGAAGCCTCATTTAAATACTTATTAGAAGTATTTAATAAATAGTAACAGTGATCATGCAACCAGCCAAATTATTTTCTGGTTCCATCTGCATTCCTCACCCTTTCATCAGTCCTCCTCCTGGAGGGTGGAGATACTATGGTAAGTAACTATGTAGTAACACAGTTATCTGAAGGAGGGTGTGTGCATTGATTCATCTTGAGCGTTGAGGTATGGATTGTGCTGTATGTAATGGGGTAGGATGCATAAGCTTCCCTAACTTAAGACTGGGGTTTATACATTTTGCCACGATCATCCCATTTTGGGGGCAGGTAACGTGCTGATCTCTTAGAAATGATAGTGGGAATAGATCGAGGAGAATAAAAAGACGTGTGTGTGATGGCGTTGACCGTAAAGTGGGATAAGAATCGTTACCTGAAGGGGCGCCTGGGTGGCTCAGTCGGTTAAGCGTCTGCCTTGGCTCAGGTCATGATCTCCAGGTCCTGGGATCAAGCCCCACATCGAGCCTCGCATTGGGCTCCCTGCTCAGTGGGGAGCCTGCTTCTCCCCCTCCCTCTACCTCTCCCCCTGCTTGTGCTCTCTCTATCTCTCTCTCTCTCAAATAAATAAATATAATCTTTTAAAAAAAGAAAAAAGAATCATTACCTGAAGACAGGATTTGTGATTACTTCTTAAGGACTGCATGATTTGTTCTTTTCCTCTGAACATAACTTGTGTTGAAGGTTTTGGGTGACAAGAAAAAGATACTTCTTGGGGCGCCTGGGTGGCTCAGTCGTTAAGCGCCTGCCTTTGGCTCAGGTCATGATCTCAGGGTCCTGGGATTGAGCCCCACGTCTGGCTCCCTACTCTGTGGGAAGCCTGCTTCTCCCTCTGCCTCTCCCCCTACGTGTGCTCTCTCTGTATCTCTGTGTCTCAAATGATTAAATAAAAAATATTAATAAAAAGAAAAAAGAAAAAGATACTTCTTAGTTACCTTTGCAATTATATTTGAGTCCTATGCTCTAAGGGAAGTACCTGAGTCTGCCTTTGTTAAGTGCACGCCCCAAATCTAAATCTCAAGCTTCGAATGAGAAAATATTAGATCTTCATGCATGTTAGTTGTTAAAAAGTCACTTAACTTTTTGCTTCAGCTTTCTCATTTCAAAAGCAGGAACATATTATTTTCTGCCAGATTTAATAATCTACTCATTTCTTAGCTGAATTCTCTAGGTATTTGTCAGAAGATTTTGTCATTACGTGATGAGGCACAACAATTGTTTAATAAATTGTTGCTATAAAGACATTATAAAAATACATATATGAATACCTCTAAGAAACAAGCATGCGTAGTTGGAGATGACAAATTGTTAAATATCAGAAATGATTAGTGGAGAAAAACCATTTGAAAAAAGAGTAACTTAGCTGAGTAATGAGTGCTATGATTAACATATTCTGCAAATCTATCAATACTAGGGCTCAGCATGTCCTTGTTACTCTCTAAAATTAATAATGACAGGTACCAAGACCCTATTAATATTTTAATAGTCTAATAGGCACAGACAAGCATGCAGCAGAGAAGAATGTAAATCAGTGGTCCGGGGTGCAGGGCCACCTCGAAGAGAGTCTGCCCAGTGAGAGAGTGAGGTCCTCCTACGGCTTTCTTCTTCCTGGTTTCATTCTCATATCCACACCCAGGTTCAGAAAATGTACTAATTTTGCACAGAGGGATGTGCCAACACAAGGCAAAAACCCACAGAGTGGTTAGCATTCTTTATGCCCACAGTGTATTTTAAGAAATACTAATGTTCGTGTCAGTGTGTATCCTTCAATGCTCTGTCATCTGAAACTAGTAGGAACTCTTACAAAGAATATATATTCTGGGAGTTTGAAGAAATAGGTTTGTCTCTGATTCTGACACTGGCAGTCTCCTTGCTCAAATCATCTCCAAGTTCATCCTCAGTAGAAATGATATAATGTGTACAGACTACTGTGAGATACTTGGAAGAATAAATCTGAGTGAAAGAAGGAAAGGCAACCATTAAATAACACGTAAAGGACTTGCGGTGGTGCCTCGCACAAAGGAGGACCACAAGGAATGTTGGCTTCCCGCTCTTTTTGCTTCTGAGGGGCCCCTTTCTACAGTGACCTTTGCTTGACCTTCCTGTGTGGCTCACAACATATTTTGCAGCACTCATGAAAGTTTCCTCAGAGTCAACTTTGAATTTGAAGATGTAATGATAGTTCCCTCTTGTAATAATATGTCCCTATCATTTGACACCCATAGAGGTTGTTCTGTAGAGAAGGAGGGGCTGCTTCTCGAAGGCTGTCAATCAGCACCTCCTCATGGGATGGTTTTTTTGGTTTTTTTTTAAAGATTTTATTTATTTATTTGACAGAGAGAGACACAGCGAGAGAGGGAACACAAGCCGGGGGAGTGGGAGAAGGAGAAGCAGGCTTCCCGCGGAGCAGGGAGCCCGATGCAGGGCTCGATCCTGGGACCCTGGGATCATGACCTGAGCCAAAGGCAGACGCCCAACGACTAAGCCACCCAGGCGCCCTCACGGGATGGTTTTGAAGGATCATTTGTTAGAGGCTATACAGGACCAGAGAGACTACATCATGGAGACGAGTATTTTTCAGTTGAATTTTCTTTTTTTTTTTTAATTAAAGATTTTATTTGTCAGAGAGAGAGAGAGAGAGAGAGAGACCATGCGCACAAGCAGGGGGAGCGGCAAGCAGAGGGAGAAGCAGGCTCCCCGCTGAGCAGGGAGCCCCACATGGGGCTCGATCCCAGAACCCTGGGATCATGACCTGAGCCAAAGGCAGGTGCTTAACCAACTAAGCCACCCAGGCGTCCCGAAATTTCTAATCTAAATACCACAACTGATTTCTACAGTGAGAAAGTAAAAGCCAGAAGAAAAGAGGCATGATTCCAAAAATAAAAGGAAAGAAAAAGCAGTGTTTTGCCAGGAATGGGTATGCTCGCCCCAGGACTAACACCCTCAAATGTAGGTTTGGTCACAGCTGCCAGAATCTGTCCAAGACCAGTATTAGTTCTGTTCCCGGAGTTTCCTTATACTTCATGTGACAATGATTCCCTTTTTTTTTTTTGCAATGGTTCACTTTTAATCACCTGATTAGAGTTAGAGCTCAGAGACAAGACATACATTTCTTCTCTCTCTCTTTTTTAAAAAGATTTTATTTATTTACTTGACAGAGAGAGACACAGCGAGAGAGGGAACACAAGCAGGGGGAGTGGGAGAGGGAGAAGCAGGCTTCCCGCTGAGCAGGGAGTCCGATGTGGGGCTCGATCCCAGGACCCTGGGATCATGACCTGAGCCGAAGGCAGACGCTTAACGACTGAGCCACCCAGGCGCCACCCCCTCTCTCTTTTTAAAAAATATTTCCTTACAACTTAAAAGAGGTCAGTTTTTACTTTGGTCTCAACTCTGCTGCCGGGTTGTCTGACGGATTTTTCTCTGCGCAAGCCCGACCCAACTCCCACTCCTCCATTTGCTTGCCATGTTTTCTGGGGATTCCCGTGATTTCAGCCCTCACCACCTTTCCCTGAGCTATCGCGCCGGGCACGTCCTGGAACCGGCTGCCTTCTTGTCCCTGCCAGCTCTTCTGTCTCAGGGTCTCCTCCAGCATCACCTGTTAGGGAAGTTTTCTTTTCCCCCTCTCTCTTTCTGTCAGGTGACCTAGCACATTGAGAGTTACAGAGTGTACTTGCAGGATGAAGGGTATTTGTAGGCATGCTTGTCTTCTTCACTGGGTTGGTGGCTTCTTGACCACGGGGGTCTGCGCCATTCATTTTTATAGATGCTGCCAGAACATTTACTGAATGTTCAGTACATTCTCTTTTGTTACATGCAACAAAATAATCCGGTTAGCAGGGAGCATTTGATGTGAAAGAGATTCGTGAAATGAATAAGAGCTTATATTTTATTGTTTGCTCTAAGACAGGGAGAGCAACATATATTTAAGAAATATGGGTAAAGGGGAACATGGGTGGCTCAGTCGGTTAAGCATCTGCCTTTGGCTCAGGTCATGATCTCAGGGTCCTAGGATCGAGTCCGGTGTAGAGCTCCCTGCTCAGCGGGGAGTCTGCTTCTCCCTCTGCCTGCCGCTCCCCCTGCTTGTACTCTCTCTCACTCTCTCTCTGTATGCCAAATAAATAAAATCTTTAAAAAAAAAAGTATGGGTAAAAATAATTGATATGGTGATTATGGGGCAAACCATCTTGGAGGATGGCATAACGAAGCATAACAAGTTCATTGGCAGAGTTCTAGGCAGAATTTTGCCACAGAACCTGGCCATAGTCCCTGGAGCTTCCCCTTTCTGGGTTTAATTTTCTCATCTTGTAGAACAGAGAGAGAGGACAAAATAGTCTTACATGACTTTCAGGTCCTTCAAGCTCTGAAACCCTATCACCCATCATAACAATGGCTGTCAGGGAAGGTCCGTCACTGCCAGGAAGCCTCATCTCTAGCCCCATATAAAGGCACCCAAACATTTCTTGTACCTTATTCAGATTTGGGGTCCTCTAGTTTCTTTTTCTTAGTTTCCTCTAGTCAAGCTCTTCTTCCCTTTCCTTTAGAACTGTAATTTTGCCCTGGAGCTGCAGGATAGGTTGAACATAGTATTTATTACATGGCTCTCCCATTCTTCTATAGGGTGACCTTATTCCCCTCCCCACTGCCCACCTCTGCCTCATTGCACCAGACGAGGCTTAGCACCTCTCCAACTAGCCCTTATCTGCAG